AGATTTATCTATAATTTCTAAGTCTCATCTTTCACATACTTAAATTATTCAAACATTCATAAGTTGCACAACCTTTCTTATTTTCTTTTCTATTCTGGAAACATCCAGCCATTTTAATCTCCATAAAAACTCTTTCTTACTGAAGTGTTTTCATTTCCATATTCTTTAACAGCTTCATTTACTTACTGGTTTTCTTACTTAAAACTGTGAGATATAACATTAATAAATGCATTTACTACTTATTGCGAGAAGTTTCTTCCTGGGGGTACTAAGCAAAGCTTACACCCTTCCTAAGATTTTAGTGACAAATCGATGTTGATTACACTAAATTCCACCCTGGGGAGCCAATGAGCTTATTGTGCTTACTTATGCAGCATGGATGAGGGGTTACTGACAGGTGCATGGGTGATATGAGAGAAGCTTTACTGGAAAGTCTTTACCAAGTATGGATAGTTGCGGTCCCATAGCCTCATGGGTCAAACCCCCTCTCCCCAGATTATATACTGTAAGTCCTCCTCCAAACCAGGAGGCCACATGTGATTAGGGCAGAATTGCATACAACTGGCTTGAAGGAGTGGTTGGATACTCAGTTGAGAGTCTAATGACCCACTTACCCCTTATTTTATGAAGGAAATTTCATAGTCAAAAGCTCAACGATGATGCTCTTTTGCAAGTCGGCACAGCTGAAGTCATGAAGATGGTAGTTGTTTGGCTCAGAAGATAGTGCTGTGTAATGTCATCTTATTAAAAAAAAGTTGAATCCAAACTACACACATAAGATAATGTAATAAATTAATACTACATGTGCACACATTGTTAAAAACTATGGGCCTTTGTAAGTTCCCCATGTAAATTTAATAGAAAACACAGTCAAAAATCTTTTTCATACATACAGTTTAGAGAGCGATGTACCATGCTTTAGGTTTTTAAAAAAATTTTAAGTGAGCTTTTGCACATTTCATACAACCGTTCGTTATCAAATTTAAGCCCCCTCCCCATACATGCTCCTTCCCCGCCCCCCAACCCCCACATCAGACCTCATTGAGCATTCTGCCATGTATGTTAAATCCTATCCAGTCAAGCATTTGTACCCAGATGTCCTTCGGTGCAAGTTCATCCACTGCAGTCTAGTCGGCCCGTCTAGAGAATGTCTACTCTCCCTCACCAAGCAGTAATCAGTCCCCGACAGTTCCCTGGCTAGGGCCTTGGATAGGACTCCTATATTAAGCCTCACCCACCCACAGCTTGGGGATCATTAGGGAAGAGGAGGCAGAAAGATTGTAAGAGCCAGGGTTGGTCTGTGAACATAGGGAAACAGAGGCTTTCAGGCCACTGGAAGCTCGCACATGTGAACATGTGGCAGTGGTGGCACTGAGCACAGGACCCAGTCAACTCAGTCATGCTTTAGGTTTTGAATGAGTGTACGAAGCAGATAGATGCAGCAGATACATAGTAAAACATTATCAAATAGATGTTTTCAGCATCCAGAGGAAATCAGCTAAGGAAACCCTCTTAAAACTGTGATGCTGGAGTTACTGAGGATTCTTTTTGGCAGTGGATCGTTTCAGTAAATATATCATTGGTCACCATCTTGGTTAGTGACATCTTCAAAATGGTGGTGACCATGTAACCTTGTTGCCATGTTGGTTCATGTAACTGCATGGCATAAATCAAAATGCTGGAACCCAGAAACTTACTATTACTACTAAGCCTTGGAGGACTCACGATATTTTGGGAATTCCCTATACCACAGGCATTTAGTCAGATGTCCCAATTCAGCAATTATTTTCTGTATTGATTTTCACCATCTTGGATTCTCGATGGGATCACAGAAATAGGAAGCTCAGAGACTCCAGCATAGGTTATATTGCTGTGTGGTAAGATAAATGCACTTTTATATCAGACTAAGCAGGCAATACCAGACCTCTATGGTAGGATTTTGAATTTTGACGTTGTTTTGTACCATATATATATATATATATATATGTGGGCTGCAGAATGAAAACAAGTTAAAGAGGTTGCCAAAATAAATTCTCCCTAAAGTTCGTTTTGGTTATGGTATTTTATCACAGCAGCAGCAAAGTAACTAACATACTCTGTCATAACAAATTCAAGAGTCTAGTGATAGCAGACAGTTATTTTAAAGACTTTTCAGGAGTGGGTGTCAGCCTAGAGAAAAGGCAGCAGTGTCCACTGTACTGATTTGGTGAGAAACAGTATTTTTTTTGTAGTCCCTGATCACACAAACATAGCTACATGTCAATAATTTAAGTATTTAAAAGGTCTTGTCCAACTTCTGGGTATTTCACTTCTGGTGATTGTTTTTATTTTGGTAATGGATTACTTTTCTTAAGTTTCTAAAGGTTTCATAATTTTATTCAAGTGTAGGCATCAAGGGCCAGTAGGAAATTAGAGACCAACATAAGTAGCATTATGCCTGGAAGTCATCAAACTTCTTCTCTCAGGCTGTCGGTGTGGGGTATCAGTCAGTCTAGCCAGGAGATGAGCTGGGTTAACAGTGTGAAATTAGAGACCAACATAAGTAGCATTATGCCTGGAAGTCATCAAACTTCTCTCAGGCTGTCGGTGTGGGGTTATCAGTCAGTCTAGCCAGGAGATGAGCTGGGTTAACAGTGCTGCTGTGGTTTCCTTCAGGGCTTGGCTGGGTCGGGTTTCTCTGGAGTTACCTAGTGTTGAGGGTGGGGCAGGATCACCACAGGGCTTTACCCAGCATTCCCTCAACTTTCACTTGTCTCTGCACCCTCCATTGCAGAAGCTTCAATGCTTTTATCTCCCCTTTGTGGACTGCTGCTCTCATCGGTGTTTTCCAGATGTGCTTTTGTACATATTCTTATGGAAAATCTGCAAAGTGCTCTCATCTGTGTTATTTCACTGCATGTGAAAACCATAAAGGTTATTACATGCATACTTTTCTTTTCATGTGTGTGCGCAGTATATATGTAGATATGTATACATGTTGGCATGTGAATGGGTGCATGTGTATGTGGGAGCTCATGCAGCTATGTGCTTGTGTGTGGAGGCCTGAAGAAGATGTCAGGTGTGTTCTTCTCACTCTCCACTTATTTATTGAGGCAGGACCTGTAGCCTTGGCTGGCCTGGAACTCTCTTGTAGACCAGGCTGGCCTCTAACTCACCTCTGCCTTCCAAGTGCTGGGATTAAAGGAATGTGCTACCGTGCTCATCTGAGGTAGGATCTCTTGCTTGTCATTTCAGGTTTTCTAGATCACCAGTTTGCCTCGGCGATGGCCTGCCTGTGCTTCCCAAGTGCTAAGATTACAGGTGACTCCCATACCTGTCTGGTTTTTAATGTGGATTCCGGGGAATCTAAACTCTCACTTCTGGGGCAAGTACTTTATCCAATAAATAATCCAATCTCCTCAGTCCTAATATTGACATATATATTTCAAGGAAAATCTTAGTTTCGTTTATACCCTGGTCTCTGAGCTAGGATAGAGGGGCCAGGCTCTGAAACACAAGCCCATAGGCCATTCCACACATCTGCTTGTAGTCTTCACTGAGCACCTCATCATCTCCCTAGTGATGCCCCAAACAGGGCATTCCATTCACATTCTTTTGACCTAAGTACATTTCTGTGTGCTGCAGGCTACACAAGAACCTAAAAACTGTAATATATTTTAAACAAATGCAAGACAATAAAAAACAAACCAGACAGAAACAAACAAAATAAATAAGAAACATTGGAGGGCCTGTGTGGATGCGTATTCTAAAATAATGAAAGAGAAACAGGACCTTGGCCCAGGTAGGAAACAACAGTTGGCTCTCAGCAGCACAAACTTGGAAGCAAGCTCCTTTGGTCCTACATGCCCAGGCACCCCCTTTCCTCACTCTGATGCTGGCCCCTTCTTGTTGTCCCCTCAGATCATGGAAGGTGCTTCCTTGGCTCAGACCCTTCTCTGAGCACAGCAGGGCTGCAGAAGAGGCTAAAGGTCTGAATTGAGAGTTGATTTCTCCAGCCATGCTTTGCAGAGTTCAACTCCTGGCAATAATCACAGAGATCTGAAGCTGCGTTACCATAGTACACGCCTGGGCAGTCCTGGAGCCTCGTGTAGCCACAGGTGCGTGTAGCATCATGTTCATGCACACAAACGTCCTTCCCAAGGTGAAGCTGGTGGGAAACTTTGGGCAACTGTGCACAGCCCCTTCCTCACCCCCCTGATTGGAAGAGTGGCTTATTTCTACATCTGTATTTCCTAACTAGGCACTGGCTCATTTAAACAAGGCTGCCCTCGAAGAGTTCTAATCACACCCAGAAGCCAAGAGAAGGAAATTCTATAGTTTGCTTTGAAGAACTGCTTGGCACCCAATTTCCTAGTCCTATTGGTCATTCAGGAGCTGGCCCATCTTATAAAACCTGATGCTACAGTAGTACCAACCTGGGCTCAGGTGTCTCCAGTTATTATTACTCTATATACCTGACCCACTTCTTTGTGATTAGTGAAGACCTTGATACAAATCCATCATACGCATTGTAAAACATATGTAAAAATGCATTGTTTGAAACTCTGAAAAACCACATTGAATATTTTACATCTTATGGTTCCAGCATTCTATTTTATTTTGCAAAGACAGGAACAATTGTATTTACAAAAAATATAGTGCAAACCACTATTTTCAGTATATTTACATTTACTTATTTTTAGCAGACCATCTACTAATAAACAGATGTATCAGACGTGAACACCAATACTGACATCTTTTTCACTGAATATCATAAATGTCTGTGAGGGAAGTGAAGGAACACGCCTATCCATGTATAAGAAGTACAAGGTTATTTAGAAAGTCAGTCTAGATGAAAAGGAAAATGTTGAAAGTAAAAATGCTTGTTTTAACCTGTTGTTTCACTGTTTTTCAAGAGAGGAATGAGCTATGGAGATTGGTTGGTGAAAATATCTTAAAAATGAAGATAGACACTTTTATTTTAAAATTTTGCCTGGATAAGGTTAAAAGATAAGACTCAATCATGTAAAAATGAATTTTGAGTATGTGTAAGGTACCCCTACCCCAGTTCCCCTTGGTTGTGCCCGCGCAGTAAGTATTCGGTTCTTTTCTTCCCCAGCAATTACAGTATCTAAGACCTGAGTCATATGTCGTTCCCATCGCCCACTGCCTGGGGCAGACGTCTGTTGGTAGATCAGGAGGACCACACCTAGGAAGATTGTCACGCTCCATCTCCAACCCATCCTATGGAATTTCTGCCATTTCCACAGCCTTGCTAGCAGCCGGATACAGCGGGGCCTCCGGATGTGCTCTGCCAACTTCTCTGCCACCCTTCGAGGCCGCTCCTTGGGGTTCGCGCCCCACAGGACCCGCACCAGCTCATACACCTCGTTGGTGTAGTGCGCACCCCGGTGCTCCCTCACCAGGCGCACCACCAAGCCCAGCAGCTGCTCCACCTGCTCCTGCTCCGCCCCGGTGGCGCGGTTGTCCAGGCCACACACGCGGCCCCCGCACTCGGCCACCAGCTCCCGCAGCGCCTGGTTCTCCGTGTAGCGCACGTAATCCTGCAGAGAGTCGTCGCCCAGGTCCTCCTTCCGCGTGAAGACCACGATGGTTCGCGCCATCACGTCGTCCCCGAACATCTGCTTCACCCTGCGGAGCGCCTCGTGGTCCTGGGCGGTGTAGCGGCCCAGCTGGGTGACCAGGAGCAGCGCGTGCGGCCCGGGCGCCGACAGCAGGTAGCAGCGGGCTCTCTCCAAGCACCCGGGGTCCATCTGTGAATCTCGGGGCTGAAGATGTCTGGGGTGTCCACGTGCCACTTGGCACACCTCCGTCTGGCAGCAGCACAGGTTGTGGTCACAGAAGTGGTTCCAAGTTTGGAGAGGAAGCGCGGCTGGCCCAGGATGCTGTTGCCTGTGGCACTTTTGCCGACCCCTGTCCTCCCTACCAGGACCAGCCTCAGCTGGGGCTCCTGCCAGGACCGCATGTTCTCCTCTGGACCTGAGGGCAAAATATTGCAAACTTAATGTCAGCGAAATCAACTTTCCTTTGGGAATACCGTGTTCTCAGGTTTGTTGACATGCTAAGAACAAAAGTGAAGAACAGGTAGTCCAATCGCCCTCCTCCCGGTGTGAACCAGATCTTCCCTCCGCACTGGGCTCTGAGCTCTGGCTTCCTCCAGGTCTTTCCCTTCTGCATTTGTGGAGTCCCTGCGCACCCGCAGGCACTCCTTGCAGAGGGTTTCAGAAAGTGCTCTTTTTAACTTTGGCATCTGCACAGCGTCTGGTCATGTGCACACAGACTGGCCTGTTTCCTATTTGACTCTCATGTTCCCCCAAATACTATCCATGCAGGATGGGGAGACAATACTTCTGGGTCAGAGCAGGAGATCTCAGTCCCAGACACTGGGGTTGAATTATAGCCCACCTCGTGCTTCTTGTATAAACTCAGGGTAATGCCCAGTATAAATGTTAAATGTCTTCTGCAAAAGTGGAGATAATGTGGGGTTGTTTGTCCTGTGATTATTGAGGGGTTAGACCAGAACTGACCCCTTCCTCCTGTCCTTACCCTCTTCTGTGCCCAAGGTGTGTTCCCTAAAGAGAATCCCCATGTACCCTGCATCCTTGTTCTAACACAGATGACCTGGTGATCAGATTTGCCAATCTCTATATCCAGAGTAGGTTCAGGACCCAGGAAAGCAGGTCCCAGGCTCCTGCTGTTTCATCCCAGGCACTTCCCTCTGCTCTGTGCAGCCCCGCCCCCTTTCCCTGAGCTCAAGGACAGGGGCCAAGATGCATTGCAGGGAAGGCCTCTTACTGCAGGCTCTTTCCTCATCTCTTGCCATCCTCCGTCCTCCCATGCTTCCCTGGAAGAGCTGCAAACACGATTTCTTCAGTCATGTCTTCCTTCCTGCAAATGAACATAACCACCTGCAAATCAGGCAAAGTCCAAAGAAGGTGGAGCAGGATGGTGACAGGTGACAGGGAGTGGCTTCTACCTGAGAGCTGAACTTGTAGGTGTGTGATCTGAGGGGAGGGGCAGGTGGAAGGGACAAGGCAGGCATTTGTCCATTGTACAGTTGTGCAAATCCTTCTAGGGCTAACACCTGGATTTTCAAGAATGACATCAGAAAGACAGCATCCTGACCTGTGGTTGGAACTACACTGTGGGAGCCCTGGATGTGCTTGGATTTGTCTTTTTAGGGGCTCCAAGGGAAATGGATTAAGGGAAGGTTTGCCATCTATTCCATGAGATCAGTATCTACAGATGTAAATTTTCTCCAAGAATTTCTAGTCAGTGACTTATACTACAGACAGAAAAATTTCCCAGGAGATCCAACAGTCAAAAGAGACAGGCAAACCCTGAGAACTGAAAAATTATTCAACAGCTTTGAGAGAACTTAGAGACAATAAGCGATATGGAAGCTAGCATCCTTTTTGGAAACTGGAAAACAGGTATTTCTGAGCCAGTCTGGGGTCATTCAAGTAAAGCTCTTGGCTCATCTAGACAGATTTGGATACCATCAGTGTTGGAGGGACTGATGCTTCCCTTCCACTGCTCAAGTTGTCCCCAAATCTGAGTCTTTTGTAAGTAATGTGATCATGTCTGATTCCAATGTTATTCAGTACAATTGAGCCCTCTCTGACAGGTGTGCCTGACTCTGGGAATCACAGTCTCCCTCCAGTCTGCTGCCCCAGTCTCATTTCCAGCTCACCCCACTCAGCCAGATATGGCACAGAAGGCACATTCAGGGCCTCTCCAACCCTCTCTGGGCTTTCTCTCCTGTGACTGTTTCTGAGTGCTTCTCTGTGCTCCCCCACCATTTCAGATCCTACCTCTTCATACTCCTGCCCAGGCTGCTCCAGGTGACATGATCCCTCCTCTGAGCACTCCACACACCAAAAAAGGGAAGTTGGCTGAAAAGCCTGTCTGGCTGGGGAACTTTGGAAATGAGTTCTGCTACTGTTCTACCCAAAGTTATTTGGTTCTGCGAGAGGTCCCTTGCAGGTGCCCCAAAGCCTTCAGCAGAGTGTACCCCATGGTCCTGTATCTTGAGCTATTTTATGTATAGAAATCACCAAACTTACACAACTGACACCAGATCAGAAATAAGGAAACAGACGCAATATTTAGAACAAGAATTTAGTGGAAGCTCAAAGTCCTTGTCAGAGGAAAATGAGAACGTGTGCTGCAGGGAATCCTTGGATGGGGGATGGAGAGACTTGGGAGGAAGATTATCAGCAGTTGCAGCCAAGGGTCACAGCCTCTCTATCACACATCTAGATAGTCTAGATAACCCAGGAGCTTGGCTGGAAGAGAGCAGAGGCAGTGGAATTCACAGGTGCCAAGACATCAGGAATTAAAAAATAGTATAGTTACCAGAACAAGCAAAACACATGGGATCCAGGATCTGAGATCTCTAAGGGACCTGAAAATCTTTCTAGTACAAAGATTTTCCAAACTGAGGCCCTGAGAATTATCTAGCATACATTTAAAAGAGCTCATGGTTCATAAATTCGTCCTTTTTCCAGCTGTCCTTTTTGGGTTGGATGGTGTTTTTTGGTTTGTGGTTGTGTTTCACTTTGGTTTTGGTTTGAGACAGGCTTGGGTCAATGTAGACTGGCCCTGGCCCTCCTTACTCTGCCTCTCCTTGTATTGCAGTCATACACCACCTCTCTCCATTATTAATCTGTATATTTAGCAAACACTCCCCACACTGTGATCCAATGGAGTCTGTCCATGGAGCTGAGATTGAGAATCTTGCCTTAGTCCTCTCCCCTGCCCCTTCTACAGATGAGAAAATTCAGACAGATTGGCGCCCACAGGGTGCTGTGCTGCTTGGTGTGGAGAGTACATCAAAGACCACACAGTTGCCCTTCAATGTCTCCCCAGGAAACCCACCTTGCTTAGGGCTGAGGAGGCTGTAGCTACAGGAAATTCTTACTTCATCATTTGGTCTGAGGTCAGACTCACTTATACCTCCCCAGAAGTTCCTTCCATTTTTGCTGGGTGTGCATTTGGGGAGTGTTGACTGCCTTGCCCAATGTGATTTTCTCTGAAGTACTTCTAGCAATCTTCTTTCTACCTGAAGGGAGCAGGCAAAGAGAAAGGTCCTATCCTCTTTAGGAATGCCTGATCCCCACTGACTCGGAAACTTGGAAACCTTTAAAATCCCAGAAATCTGAAGTTATTCCTTCTCTGTTCCCCCTCTTCTAGAAGCAGCTGCTCCTTAGCAAGCTTTGCTTATTCAACACCGGCCAGTGCTGAATTCTTTCTGCTGCTTAGAGCTGTCTGTCACTCCCTGGCACAGACTCACTTTCATGAGACAGGCTTTTGAGGGGCTCAGAGAAGCTCTCACCTCCTGCTTTCCTTCCTGCTGTGAGTGCAGGAGGCTCCTTCTTCCCAGCATACATGGGAAGTCATCCAGCCTTCAGTGCTAAGTTCAGGAGGCTTGGGGCCAGCCTGATGGTGAGGACTTGAAAGTACAGAAACCCTCACCAGGTGGAGGGTGGTGAGCAGGTTTTCTCCACTATAAAACCTACCCCTGCTTAGGACAAAGATCATTGTAACACTGACATCTTGACTCTACTCTGAATAGAACAGCTTAGGTCTTTGAGACCTGTCTTTTCCTCTAGCCCCGATCACCCATCTTACCTCCAGGTACCTTTTGTTTTTTTAGCTACTTTCCTGTAACATGGTCCCCAAGAACACTCTTTCCTGGCTGATCACTGTGTGGGTGCTGCCTCCAGTGTGGGCCTGCCAGGCTCATCACACAGTCTCACTGTTTGAAGCCCTTCAGTGATCACACATAGAACAGAAGGTAAAGAAGGACTCCCGGTGGATGGAAATCTCTACACCCTGAAGCTTAGTCTAGTGATCTGTGTAGGCACCTGTTTCTCCTCTTGGGAGAATCATGAGAGGGATGAGTAGAGTGGCTGTGTGGGAGGGAAGCCTGCCCAGGAGGCGATGCTAGTGACTCTGGGTTTTATTAGCTCACTAGCCAGCTGGGTGGACTTGCCTCATTCAGTCAGACTTTCTGGAGTTGACTGCTGCTGTGTAATTCGGGGGTTTATTGAAACTCAGGCTAATAGGCTGTGCTCTGACTTTCATATATCCTTGTTAGTACATTATCTTTAGGGAAGATTCCAGACTCCCCCTGCTCTTCCTACTCTCCCAAACTATTATTACTACAGTACATTTCTTTCTTTTTTTAAAAAACTTCCCAGGCAGTAAGTTTTTTAAAAAAATTATTATTTTATTTTATGTGTATGAGTGTATTACCTGCATGTGTGTAAGTGCACCCACGTTGTGCAATGTCTGCAAGGAGGCATTGGATCCCCTGGAACTCTGGAGTTACGGATGGTTGTTAGCTTCCATGTGGGTGCTGGGATTCGAACCTGGGTCCTCTGTAAGAGCAGCCATGCTCTTAACCACTGAGACATCTCTCTAGAAGTGTCTTGCTGTTTGTGTTATTACAGTAGATGGAATCCCACTGAAATGGGCCGACAGCCCATGGAAAACTCACGATGTAGAGACCTGAAAGTTCAGTGCCTTGCCACAATAGGAGGAAGATCACCCCACATCTACCCCCGCCCCAAGGCTCAGAGACTTTTGTGGAAGAGGTTGGCAGAAAGAGTGTAAGTGGGGGAGGAAGGGGTGGAGTGTTAACCGGAAGTGTCTTCCAACCACTATGCCAGCAAGCTATGGTCACACCTACTTCCTATGCTCATCATGGAGTCCAGGAGAGAATCAGTCACCGCTTCTGTCCAATCAGTTGACTTTAGCTGCATGTGGGGAAGGGGCTAAGGATATGTAAGCCGAGAATGCCAGGAGGCCCCTCTCTCACCTTTTTCTGCGGTTGTCAGGAAGTCACAGGATCTATATTTGAGTGGACTTTCCAGTGCGGCCATAAATGGGGGGAGGGTGTGCATCCACCCTTCTGTAAATAAACCCCCACCCTATGCTCTGTTAAAAAAAAAGAAAATGATAGGTGTTTGAAAAGACAGATGAGAGGGATCTGACTAAACCACAAGTGGATGGACTTGTACTGGGGAATGTCTGGGGATGGTGACTTGACACAGTGGGCCTTAACACCCAGGACAGAATGGGTGGGGGGGCACTCTTGGAGGGTGCTGGTGGAGATGGGGCTATAATGATGATTCAGATTGTTTGAGATATTCTGTATGAAATACAACAAAATTTTAAAAAACAAATAAAAAGAGTCCCATCCAGTGTACACACTCTGTAGTCTCTTACTCTAAAACTTGGCCAGCTGTGGCCTTCTGTGTACATCCCACTGTTGTATAAAGAAGCTTCACTGGTGAGAGTGAGGGATGCATCCGTTTTCTCTCTACCCCTTGTTCTGCCATGTTCCATGAGCCTTAGGTGTAGAGGTTCAACTGGAGATGTGTCACTGTCAGTGAGCACTTGGCATCTCTTAGACACGTACTCGCTGTGTCTGACCGGTTCTGGAATTCTGAAGTAACCTCCATCGGTTGCAAAAATAAGCTTCTTTGGTGAGTGGTGTGCGGTGTGCTTGTCAGAGTCCTGGCTGGGCAGGTCTGTCCAGCTGATCTGGGAGCCAGGGAAGATGTGTGGGGCTACTGTCTGAGTAGGGGCTTAGCGATCTACGGTAGGGCGCTTAGCTAGTCTGGGTTAGGAAGGAAGTCCGAGGATCTGAGGCAGAGAAATTGGAACTTGCCTGGGTCCAAGGCTGGCTGGGGACAGGGTAGGGGTGGGCAAGAGGAACTCCAAAGTGTTTTGTAGGCAGTTGTAAATAGGATTATTTCCCCAATTTCTTTCTGAGCATGCTTATCAGTATACAGGAAAATAATGAATTTTGTATCTTAAGTTTGTATTCTGTCAGTTTGCTGGTTCATTTGTCCTAAGTGTTCATTTGTCCTAAGTGTTTTCTGGTGGAATCTTCAGGGTCTCTCATATGCAAAATTTTATTATTTTCAAATAAGGCCAGTTTGACCTCTATCTTTCCTGTTTATCTTTATCTCCTTCTCTTGTAATAGCTGTAGTTAGTTTTCAAGCAACAGTTGAATAAGGATGAGAAAGTTTTGGTTTTTTATTATATATGTATATTTTTACTTTTTAGAAGAAGCATTTTATTATCGCTTTAACATGCTCAATAACAGTTTCCAGAGCAAAGATAGATCACTTTCAAATGTGGCTATAAAATTTTTAGGTTCATTGTTGAATTAATACAGTTATACAATATTGTACTCAGTATAAACCCTGTAAGACATAAAATTGAATTTTTAACCTTTAACAAGATCTCCATTTCATTTTAAAATATACTGTTTCTTACTTTTTTGGTTTTTTTTTAAGACAAAGTCTCTCTGTAGTCTCAGCTGACCTGGAACTCACTATGTAGACCAGGCTGGCCTCAATCTCACAGGATCCGACTGCTTCTGCCTCTAGAGTTCTGGGATTAAAGGCCTATGCCACCACTCCTGGCCTTGTTTGGATTGTTACAGAAATCCCTTTAGCTTTCCCACTGAGTGTCATTGGTTGAGTGTCACGTAACCAGAGGCTTCATATCCATGGGCTTTATTAAATGTTGCCGTGTGTTCCTTTTATTTGTAGCCTCTTTAGGACTTCTGTCATGAAAAGACGCTGGGTTTCGTCAAAAGCACTTTCAGTGTCTATTGAGATGATCGTGTAATTTCTGTCCTTGAGTCCATTTAGTTGGTGTAGTACATTTCTTGATTTGTGCATGTCGAACCTTCCATGCATCTCTGCAGTGAGGCCAGTATGAACACGGTGAACTTTTTTTTTTGATTATTTAAAAATATTATTCATTGATGTACTTTGTGTTTTAATTTTTATTCTATATCTTTAAAAATATTTTATTGAATTTTTGTGCAGCTCACACATCTTAATCATATTTAGACCCAATCCTTATCTACACCCCCAGTTCCCCTCCACTGGATTTCATGCACTCTGTCATATATGTTCAGGCCTATTGCGTCAAGATTGTGTCCCCAGACGTTTCTCAGTGTGAGTTAGGTCAGCTTGTCGCATCACTCCCTTAAAGAGTACCAACTCTCCTTCACCCAGCAGTCATCAGCTGACAATAGTTCCTTGGCTATCCATGCTTCTGGAAACTTGCCCATATGAACTTACAACAATGGTGCATCATGCACAAGACCCATGAAAACTCGAACCAGACAGAAACCCAGGACAGAACTGGCGAGTGGTCTTTTTGACATGTTCTTGAATTTGGTTTTGTCATATCACCTTTGTTCTTTCATCAGTGTTCACTGTATTCAAGAGGAGCTAAGTTGTAGTAGGGTTTTGGTGTCTTTTCTCCCAGTTAGACTGTAGTAGTTATCTATCTTAGTAGTAAGAGCATCTGCCTGTGTGTTCAGGGCACCAGGCTCAATCCCTAGTACTCACTTGAGAAAGAAGACTGTCTGCAAAAACAGTCACCATCAAAGGGTGATCCCACCATGCAACACAGTGATGAGCAAATGGAAGACAATCCGCTCCACCTTGCCAATCACGGTAGGAGGTAAAGGAACTCTGGTCCTCTCCTGAACACTAGGATGTTAGCTACTGTGGGTATGAGTGGAAAGGGAGAAAGCAGCAAGACTAGGGGTTAGTATTGTGTTGAAAGAGGGGAAAAACGAGAAAAGTAATTAAGGGTGGGAGAGATACGGCAGAGGTAGAGGAGGACATGGCCGTTCTGGACGAAGGTGGACTGAAAAGAGACATTAAAAACATGCAATCAAGATGACCTGGAACAGTCTCTGATCTCAGGAGGCTGAGGTATGGAGACCCCCGAACCCAGGCCCTCCTGAGCTTTTCCTGGGCATCAAGATGCCATTCACACCTCTGGGCAGTTCTCTGTGAGTTCAGGTCACTCAGCTAGTCACATCAGTGGGTGGTCCTTTATGGGTTAAGTCTCCCAAGAGTTCATGTTTTAGATCCATTCTGCTGTGTGGATCCATTCTGAGTGTGGGTTTTTATAATGTAGCATGACTGGTCCTTCTCAGTATCCAGCTTTCTGTGTCACTGGTACCATGCTCTTATATTGTGTGCGCTTCCATGATTATGCCATGAGCTGCTTTCCTCATCACTATGCCAAAATACCCGGCAGAAGCAACTTGAGAGAGGAAGGAAGCTTTGTGGTTCATGGTCCCGGAGGGAACTGTGCATCATGGAAGGGAAGGCATGATGGCTGCTGTACACTGTAGACATGTAGGGTTCTTCATGTCTTAACAGTGGAGGGAAGCAGGGAGCTAGGCTGGAAGCAGAGACAGGAATAATATTCAAGAAAAGCTCTCCACCAACTGAGCTACATCCCCAAGAATGTTTTCTACAACATGAAGCAATATTGATAAACTTATAGCTAAATAACTTACAATATTGTCTTACATCCTTGTAAAAATCTGATCAATTTTTACTTCCATTGAATTATGATATCTATGACCCATCCTTTGAAGTTGGATTAGGTTTGTATTTGCCTTGAAATATCCAGAATGGCTGAAGCAGCACCACATTGTCTGAAGTTCAGATCAGGCAGTGCCATCCACTCTCTCCTTGTGCTCTTTGCATCCCTGCCCTTGGAATGTGACTTATTTATGTTAGAAGTAACCCCAGTTGTTAATGGAGAGTCAAGTCTGAAAGGGCCCGGGAGAAACAGTTTCTCTCCATACATGCACAGACCGCCTCCTAAAACCAGGTGTGTATGATTTCCCCCACATTGTCCAAATCTGCAACACTGACTGAGTACCTGACACCTCAACCTGACTCTCACATTGTGAACTTGAGTTACTGTCAGATCCCATGTTAAAGGGCTGAGCCCCACAAGACTGTTCCTACTTCAGGTGCTAATTTGAAGTCCAGGCTTCTCCTAATACAAACTTGTTGTAATTGAGGGGTCCTATTATCCTCAGTTAGACTCTGTAAGATTCTATAATGGGAATCTGAACTCAGAGAAACATTTAATTTACCCCAATTTGTTTATTATAAGGAATTCAGCAATGAGAATAGCTCGATGGAAAAGATGAATAGCACAAGACACATGTGGGAGCAGAGCCTCCACGCTTAATCAGGGTGGGCCCCTTTCCCAGCACAGGGCTACCTTTACCAACCCAGAACATCAAAACTCTTCTTCAAGGTTGCTCTTTTAAATAGACTTGTACCTGCCGCATAAACCTTATCAGAAGCTGGTAGATAAAGTCAAAACTTTCAGACTTCTAGAATTTTCTGCTTACCACCTCCACCAT